TATGATTTCTGGCGACTTGCAAGCGAAGCAGGCAGCCCTGCGACAGACGACCGCGAGCAAGCGATCGCCCAAGGTCCATTTGGCCTTACCATATCACATCAGGGATTATTTCTGGATCGAAGACGTAGTCGCAGTGAGAATGGCCAAAAGCGTTCAACGATTCCCTGCAGCGGTTTACATTAGCAGTTGTACGCTGGCTTACTACGACAGCGACATTATCCCAGGATTCCGCTGCTACGCATGAATGAAATCGCACAGCCTTGAACATATGGTATTATTGTCATGTCACACGCATGGGGTGCTCTGGCGCCTTAAATCCTCGAAACCGTCGGCGGGCTTCGATGATGATTCATCAAAGTTCGAAGTGCTGGCGGAAACGCCGCCACCACCGAGCGGCCAGCCCAGGAGAAAGCCCAACTGGCTCCCCCCGAGCCCAACGACAACCGCCTATCCACCATCTACGGGCGTCCGACGGCGACCTCGAGGCACACAGCATGGAGACATGGCACACAGGATGAGTGGTAGAAAAGGAACTCCTGGAGGCCACTCCCTCTGAGGAGTTATACACAGCACCAACCCAGATGATCACCGAAAACTGCGCGCTGCTGACTGCGGCCAGTGAAGAGCAGGGCAGGGACACTTGCCCACGCGGGGCAACCAGCAGTACGACACCGAGGAAGCATACCATGCCCCCTTGTGCTCAATGAACCATGACGTCACAAATGAATTAGATTCCGACGAGCATGGACAATATGTTGAAATCTCTGTCAAACATGATGATTTCGAGATATGTGTACATATGGAAATTCGTCAATAACGAGAACGGAGACATGCAACGCACCATTCGACTCCGCCTTGCGTTGCGGGGACCCATGAACCCCGAGGCTTTTGATGTGAAGACCTTTTTCAGGCAGTGCCAGGCGATTGAGCCAGAGGCTACTCGCCAGCACGGCCGCGCACAAGATACAGCGGACCATTGCATCCATGGACATCGACAACGTTTTTTTTCTGAAAGGGGCTCACATACCGCGAGCTGGACGAGGCAACTGGATAGTACGTGTTTACCTTGAAACCAGGTTCAGCCACCGTCCCGAGGCCACTCCCAGGCTTCGCGTCCAGAGACGAACCGAAGCATTGCCTGCAGTACCTTGAACGAGGCGCGGGGACCAAAGACGCCCCGCGGGCGTTCTCGCTGAAGCTTCGCACGACCACTCGAGGAGTCGGACTACGACACACATCATACGATAACGAGTTCGAGACTAGCCAGACCCTTTTGACGGCAAAATCAAACGATGGCATCAACATGGCCAGTACTGGAGACATGATCTGCAAGAATGTCAAATTCATCGAGAACACTTTCGGCGCATGCAAGCTTACCACGCACACATACACAAACTTCGCCGCGAGGCACCTCAAACTTGAAGATGGCGGCACCACCCTCGACCGGGGCGAATGCGTCAAACACCTCCACCCCATACAGCATCCGGAATTCCGAGGCGCTGAAATTGCAGACGCGGCGACAAACGTTACGGCTGACATGTTCATCAGCTTTCGAAATTTTTTGGCCCACGCCTTAATCACCCAAGAATTGTCGATGGCGCACGTAGGATCTCTACAACAAGTCCAAGAACCGACCAACATACAGGCACGACGACTAAATGCTATAACCAGGAAGCTACAAGCAGGCCCAAAGAAAATTAGAGACCAGCCTATGATTCCGCCAGGAGAATTGGCCCTGCACAGCGACTCCGGTTACCAGTGTTTCAACGGCAACGCCGCCGACGAAGAGAAGAGGCACGGCGTCAGATATACCAAGCTACTTTGGCGTGGACACACGCAAGGTGGAAAGCCTGTCGCACACCTGGTAGACACACATTGCACCCCATCGGCTACACGCACGCTCTAGCTATTCAGCAGAAACGCTAGCAGCAGGCCACAACTTGGAAGATTCCGACTATCAGGAGACTCCACGAATTCCAGGTAGGACCATTCATCCCAACACAGCTCAAAAACAGATTGGAAATGGGTGGCCGGTGCACCAGAGTCACGCTGACCATCGATGTTGAGTCCGTCTTCATACCCCTATCTCACAAGGACTTCAAGAATTCGACAGAATGTACACTGCTAGCTCACATAAGCAGGATTAGACATGTGATGGACAGGGGTATCGCACATAGTGTACAAGTGTGTGACACACGTGATATGACAGCCGACGGACAGACCAAAGGTAGTATCGATCGTGAGTTGCTCCTACAAGTGATGCCAGGTATTCAGCACTTCGAACATGACCTGAAGAAACATGCGCCGTACTGGGCGAATCAGGCTTGAACTACTGAGCCTGGCTCTAATAGAGCTGGCCGTGGAGGCACCTTTTCGGAAAGCATGGCCACATGCAGTCCTCGCCTGGTCATGGGCCCGTCCCAGTTTCTAGGATTAGTTTGGGCGTTTGGATCTCTGGACGCCTGACCTTTCCGAGGCCACTCGCTTCCATACTTTGTTTCGCTTTGGGTGGACTCACCCCCGAGTGCACAGTTGCACGACTAGCCTGCTTGTGGGGTTGTCCGCCGCGCGGCCATTGCTAGCACGGTTTCGATGAAGTTGATGTTGCGAGCGGATATGCCAGTCGTCTGTTCCCCACCCCCGCTTCAGACGGAGGTTTAAGACGAGCAAAGCGAGCTATCCGCTGCCGTTGCGGTTCACAGCGGAGCGCAGCAGCATTTGTTTAACCAGCATTGCGTTCACTATTCGCTCGCGACAAACGGAAAGCATCTCTTCTAGCTTGCACCCGCTTACGACTTCCACCACATGTCCCATCTCCCATCTACACGTACGTACTCCAGTGTGGTTGGGCCATGGGAACATCTGAGGCCCAGTATATGCCTCGGCTTACCATACCATATTGCTTTCGACTCCCCCCTGGCTCCCAGATCACATCCTTCACAGGTTGGTCTCCAGGCCACCTGCGGGAGGCGCCCCTGATCCTTCTGTGGGGCAGGGCCGCGCCGGAGGCGAGAGCGCATCTCACCGCCCTGCGCCCCACCAGATCTTCGACCTCCTCGCCCACGAGTTGCACGCTGGCACGTCTCGCCCTGGCGGTGTTTGCCTGCGCCGCGTTTGCCGCACCATGCTTACACTGCCCCGCCTGCGGGCTAGCGGCCGAAGGGCCCACCGACGGGCAGAGACTTGCCTGCGCCGCCCCTGCCCTTCATCCCGTGATGCCCCGATGCCGCGGTGTTGTCGGGGGTTGCTAAAGGTGCCCCTGGCCCGAGGCGCCCCCAGCTTTTCCTTTTATTTTGGAGCACCCGGGGCTTTCTGAGCCTCGTGACGGGTGCTTTGGGGGCCGCGGGGGCATCCTTCTGGAAATCCTAAGCGCATTTGGGGCCAGGGACACTCGTAGCAACACCCGACCCTTGCTTGTCACCCCGTGCTGCTCCGATGCCGTGTTGCTGCTGTTGAGAGGAGGACAAAAACGTGAGGGCCCGGCGCCGTGGCCGCCCGCCCAACGGCGCGTTCCGTGCCCTGGGGAGAGTTTCGCCCATCTGCGCTGCTACCTGGTTGTCTGCAGATCCTGACCTTCGGCACGGTCCCAGCCTCTCTCTTTTCCTTCTCCCCCCTCATCCTCCCTTCTCCTTTTCCCGCCAGTGATTTGTTAGTTGTGGGCTGTCGCTGTAAATAAAGCCACTGGTCAGGTCCGCCGCGTATCACCACGGAGTGCACGGGTTGATCGAGAGATGTTGGGGTCGCCCGCTTTCGTTTACTGCCTTGTTTTTCCAGACAGATAGATATTCACCTCCTGCAGCAGATCTCCGATGACTTGATGTTGTTCAGTCCCGGCCGGTGTTCCTCGCTTTCTCCGCCCCCCCCTTCTCTTTTGCGGCCGCCCTCCTTTTTTTCCCAATTGTCTTGGTGTGTCCAGAGTCGGGTGCGGCACGTCGGCTATTCGAACGCGTTGGCGTCCGCCCCCGCTGCGGACAGAAACGAGGAATTGTCTTCGATTTCGGCATCTGGGGCCCGTTATTGGGCCCCGGGGCCATACAGAATATACCTGGTGACCAGGTCTCTGGGCCCAGGCGGCCCGCTTTTCCAAAATCCCCTCCCGTCGTCGCAACGTATGTGCAATCAGTGAGTATGTCCGCGCACATGTAGGGTTGTATCGTCGTCGAAGGCGGGTGCTTGCTAGAACCTAGGCGTGCGCGAAGCGCGCGACTGGTTCTAGTCCAAATGGATCCAGGCTTTTATCAAAGACGGGCCCAGGGCGGAAAAAACAACCCTGGGAAAGCGGTCCTAACTTCTGGGACCAACACCTTACAAGCCGAAACGTATTTGAGAATAGGAGGAGGAGGAATAGGAGGAGGAGGAGGAGGAGGAGGAGGAGGAGGAGGAGGAGGAGGGGGAGGGGGAGGGGGAGGGGGACGAGGATAATGATGAGGATCGGACGGGCAATAACACGACGATGAAGAAGGAGGCGGAGGAGGGGGAGGGAGGATGAGGGAGGCGGAGGAGGAGGAGTAGGAAGAGGAGGAAGAGGAGGAGCAGGATAACATGAGTGTGGGGTTGCGGATTGAAAGAATCAGATCGGCGAATGCCACAGCCCATGCCCTCGGCTGAGGACTGCAGCGGCCGCTGCCGCGCCCCCCCGCCGCTGCTCGACTGGGACGGCGCTCTCATGGCCTCGTAACTCGCAGCCTGGGGAATGGCGCGTCTGCGCATACCTCTTCTCCTGGGCACTTCTCGGCGGCGCGCCTGGGGGGGAAGCGAGAAGAGGCGGGCCCACTCAGAAGGCTCGGAAGGTATCCAGCCTTCTGAGAAGTGGTTTGAACCTTCCCCGAAGACACAGGAACAGATACCAGAAGGCCGGAGGGCTTCTGAGAAGCCCCTCCGCCTTCCTTCTGAGAAGGCCTGCTCCTTCTCACATCCCCCCCTCGCTTGCCGCCGAACTTCACGACACCTGTGCTCGTGACCGACGATCGGAGAAGCCTGGGGAGAGAGGGCGCGGCCAGGGGGCGGCTACCCAGCGCTCTTGTCCGCCGCCTACGCGCAGTTCAACCCGTCGAAGATGGCGGACGTCCCAGCGCTCCTGGAGAAGAACAGAGGCACGTCGGAGCCAGCTGGGGGTCTGAGGTGGCCCAGCATTTGTCTTGGCTATCGGGAGGGGGGTGGGGTAAGATTCGAGGTCCTTGGTTCGAGAAGGTTTTTGCCTTCTTCCTCCGTGGGCCGTTTCTTGGCCCCAGGACCGTCAAAAATGGATCCGGTCAAACTTGAGCGAATTTGCCGTGATCTCCCTTTCCTGACCGATTTTCGATAGTTCCATCCAGTTGACACCCCCTGGCCGCTTCCAAGGGGCACTCGCACCCTCGGGAGCGCCTGAGAGGGAGGCAGCTGCGCCTCGACGAGAGTTTTCTGGGGGTGCTTGGGTCGTCCCGCGGTCGCCAGAGGCCCGATGGGTGACCCGAAAACTACGAGGCGTCCAAGAGGAGGAGGAGGATGAGGAGGAGGAGGAGGAGGAGGAGGAGGAGGAGGAGGAGGAGGAGGAGGGGGAGGGGGAAGAAGAGAGGAGGAGGAGGAGGACGAGGACGAGGACGAGGAGGAGTTTTCCCCCTTCTTCTCCTCCCCCCCCCTCCTTTCTCTGCGACTCGCAGGCTGGGCGCAGATAGCTCGGAACCGATCGACCGAAAGGGGGCGTGGAATCATGGCAAGGGGCGTAGAATCTCCCAAATTTCACGGCCCCGTCGACCAGCCCGAGGGTGGAAGTGAGAAGGTGCAGGCTGTCCCAGAAGGTTCGGAACTCCCCCAGCCTTCTGACAGGTGTCCTAAGCTTTTCCCGAAGACCCAGAAAACTTGCGGCCGGGGGCCTCTGAGAAGCCGTGCCGCCTTCTGAGAAGGCCTTCTACTTCTCACGTCCCCCCCTCGCGCGCCGCCGATCTTCTTCGTTCCATATGCGCACCCGGTCTCCCCGTCGTCCGCGAACAGGCCTCGGGCCATCATGCGCACACCACCGCCTGTCGTTGTGGCCCCAGAGCTCACTGCTCAGGGTCGGCAAAACCACAGCAGTCTCGTGCCTGCCTCCGCGGCGGCGGCGGATCTGGTCGCGGTCAGCGACTTGCCCGCAGCCGGGGGCGACGAGCGCCGCTGGGAGCAAGCGGTGACGCAGCGCGGCTTGCTGGTCAGCCACACGGAGAAGTCTGTCTAGAGCTACGCCAGGAAGTTTTTTAAATGATCGACCTCAGGCGGGGCGAGGGGCCGCGAGGGGCCCGGGCACGACCGCGACGAGGACGGCCGCGAGTCGAGCGCGCCCGAGGGCAAGCGACGCCGATCGGGGCGGGTTGGGCGGACGAGAAGAGGCGGCACTCGCTTGTCCGTGGACGGTGGGCGGGCGGAGGATCATAACAACGCGTGAGAGCTGAGGCGCGTGGTCAGCGCGCTGCGCCACTTGGCGAGGTCGCCCCAACGCTGGCGGAGGCGCGCCATGATCACGACCAGCCCTGCGGCATTCATGGGCGGGCCGCTGAAGGGGAGGTCGTCGGCTACAGCTTTGATGGGGCGGGCTCGGGCGGCGCGTGGCATCGCGCTGGTCCTTGGAGTCAGAGGCCACTACGGGTGGGCGCCCAGTCAGTGGAACATTGCAGATGGGCCGGGTCGCGGGGTCGACGCCGGGACGGCCAGGGAGACGAAGGACACGCGCAAGGTGAGGTTGACACCGAAGTCTGTCAGGCCGCTCTCGAGGCAGATCGGTCGGCGGGCTCTGCGAGGCGCAGTGGGGCAATATCACGGTGGATCATGGTGCTGATGGCGCGGCAGGTCGCGTGAGCAATACGGCGGCGAATTCGACAACCACCCTTGCAGAAGCGCGGAGCTCGCGCCTGGAGGCAGGCCATGAAGGACACGCCGCGCTGGACAACCGGCCAGTGGCCCACGCGGTGGACGACTCTACCGACGTCGTGCACGAGCGGGAGGCGAGTGCCTTCCTCATCGACTGCAAGAGGGGCGCGTTGGCCTTCGGGTCGATAGCTGAACGGGACATGGCGCAGCGCAACTACATCAGCCACCTGCTCCCCCTACGCGGGGACAACTACATGCCCGCGTCGTTGGCGCACGATGGTTCCATGAATATGTTCGATGCGCATTGTGGGAAGTTGCCAACAGCACTGCGCGCGCTGAAGTCGCGGGAGAGTGCAGGTCGGAGGAGAAGGGCATCCAAATCTTTTCCAGGCAGCGGCAGCAGCGACGACGGACATTCTCTGGACAGGTCATCTGCTGGAAGCGACAGCGTGCATTGTGCAGATGGACGGCTGGCGACGCAAACGACATGGGGAAATGCGTTGCGAGCGCGGCACGTCTGTCTCACGCCAGACGGAGCAGTAGGTTTGCGCTCGGAAGACCGCACCATCGAGCAGAAGACGGAGAGGCGCCAACCAGTGAGCCGTGCCCGAGTGGGAGGCGTCGCGTATATTTTTGCAGGTGCTCCTGCAGGATGGCGAGCCCGACGACCGGGTCTTTCCCTTCACGCAGGCGGCTATCCGGATGATGCGGAGCCAAGTTCTGCGGCAGGCTGGCCTCGAGAAGTCGCGCCCTCCACACGGCGTGCGCCACGCGGCGGCAGCGAGATGTGCTGCGCGCGGCGTCGACCTGGAGACGACGCGTCGCCGCGGGGTGCGTGGGCCACCACGTCAGAGCCCCAACGACATGCAAAGCGTCGCGCGCCGGTCGAGAAGGTGCCAGGGCTGGACTGTCGCAAGCTCAGCCTGGGAGCCAGCATCTGGCGCCGACCCGCGCAGCCTGCGCATGATGCCCTCGCGGCGGGCCCTGGAGCAGGGACGCCGCTGGGCCAACGGTTGGCGGCCGCTCTGCCGAGTGGCTGATGGAGCGAGCCGCTTGCGCCCGAGTTCCGGGCTGCCGCGCATCGCCCCCGCCTCCTTCCACCTTTTCAATGTTCGGAAACATGAAAGCCCAGTCTGGAGAGGGGCCCTTGGGGGGGGCCATAGGACCGAGGCGCCTCGCGCGCCCATCCGCTTTTTTCCATTAGGCCCCGCGCTCGGCCCCCCCTTTGATACATCGCGGGCCCGTCGCCAGCGGACCTAGTCAGGTCCGGCTGGGGAGGGGTCGAGACTGCGCAGCGCCTCTTAGACCTAACGGTTCGGAGGCCTTCAGGGATTGCAGCTCGCGCAGCGACTTCTGGGCGCAGCGCGCGCCGCTCATTTTCTCTTTGCGCCCTGGGGCCGAACGCCTGTTCAGCGCGGCACTAGCGGCGGGAGATTCGCGGTCAGTGTCGGCGCGCAACCATCCATATACACACGCATACAAATATGGGCGCTGACCCGCCCGCCCACCCACCCCCGCTAAATCGACGGTGGCTTCTTAAGATGAACTAGAGATGTCGGCCGAGTTTGGGCCGCAATTCCAGGGGATTGCGCACGCGGTTGGCACCGAAGCGCGCTGCGAAGCACAAAGAACAACTGCGCGACCCACAACCGATCACGACGTCACAACCTGCCCTCAAGGGAGCCTTCTATCGCGAGCAGCAAGACAACAAAAGGTCGCGCACACGACGAGCATCTGATTGCGAACTGCCCCCCGCGCAAACGCCAGTCTCAGAAATAAGACTCACCGCGCCCAGACGCCCGCGGGCGATGGTCAGAGCAACCTGTTCGCCCACGACCCGCCGTCGGCATGCGCCAGACCCCTAAACGCGCTCTCGACGTGCTCATTTATTTTCGCGTAGAACACGTACTCGTCCGTCTCCTGCGCGCCCAGCTGCAATCGGCCGCGGCGCTGGCGGTTCCACTCCTGCCAGCCGCGAGTTTCCAGATTCGGCGTCGTCGGCGTGGAAGCCAGCGACGGAGTCGCGGCAGTTGCCCTCGCGAATACAGGGGGGGTGGGAGGGGCGATCTGGCACCCGAAGGCTTTCACGGTCGCGGACGCCCAGCCGTCGCGGGCCAAGAAAGCGCCGTTCTGCACCTTTTCCTCCGACGCGCGCGGGCCGTCCTGCGCCTCTGCCGCCCGAGGAAGGAGTCGATTGTCAATCCGATTGCGCCCCTTCTGGCGCGCGCACGGCCTTCCCGCGCCCGAACCAGAGCGCTGGCCACGGCCGCCGCCCAGGCCGCGGGCCCCGCGCACGGGGCGCGCACGCTTCATGGAGCCCGTCCTCGTCTTCAGGCAGTTCGCGCCGCGCCCCGTCGGCTCCCGGTCGCGGTAGATCGCGCGCGCAGGCTGCCTTCTGAAGGGGGGCGTTCCTAACGAAACTGCGAGCGCGGCGCGCGGCCTTGCAGGGCGCTTGGCGATGCTGCCCGGCGCCTCGCCTTGATATGCTTTTAGATTCGACAGCCCACCCGCCCTCCCGGTGCGCGCCGATGACGGCCTCGTCGGCGACCGCCGCCCCATTCTGCCCGCCGATCGCGCGGACGCCCAGGGCGACTGCGGCCCGCCCCGTCGTCTTCCGGCACAGCCCCCCCCCACACGCGCCACGAAAGCCTTCTTGCGAAAGTTGCCGCGCTCCGATTCGGTCTCCGTCTTGATGCCCATACTGGGTCGCCCCAAGCGGGCCAACTTCATGACGCGCAGGAACGGCATCCACGAGTTCACCTGAGCGCCTGCGAGCCAGCCCTCGGAGTTGAGGCTGCGCCTCTACGTGATCGTGTCCACCGCTGGCGCAGGTCCCACCGCGAGCGTTCCACCTTCGGTTCACGCGACACTCGAACATGGTGGGCAGGAGCACTGGGGGCACTTGTCGCGCCTGCGCGCCGCGCCGAAACGCATGGATGCAGCGGCGGCTCTCGCAGTCGGTGCATCGCGGACCCCCTCGGGCATGGCCAGCGGCCACTTTGCGACGCGCCCCGCGAAGGCGGCGCGCGAGGAGAACCATGGAGCGCACAGTTTGCGACGCCACCCTCGGACAGCCACGGGCTGCAAAGGGGCGCGATCAGGCCGGGTGCCCCGGCCGACTTCGGCACGCCACCGGGGCGAGCCGCGGGGCGAGCCTCGGGGGCGCGGGCGACGAGATCTCAGGCCAGAGCGGCAGCTGCGCGGCAAGCTTGGGGTCTCGGGTCGGTTTCTGGGCGCGGACCGAACAAACATGGAGCGAGCAGACGCATCTTCGCTAAGGGCGCCCTCTCGTTGGAGGAGGCCACCCGACGACCCCTGATGGACGGTGGCAGAGCTTCTCTTTCAAGTGGATCGGACTGCAGGATCAACGCACACATGAGAAAGCGGCGCCCATTGCATCGCCCGCGTTGGGCATGCTGGGGGGGGGGCACGGCACGGCCGCTGGTGAGTTTGCAATACGCCTCACCACCCGGCGTATACGCAACAGAAATCTGTACAACCCAGTGCCCGCGCACTACCGCGAAGTTCGAAAGCTGGCTGAAAACCGCAGAATGCAAGAGCCGCACGTTGGAAAGAACAAGAGGGCGATGATGGATGGGGGGGCGATACCTGGGGCTCCAAGACGCGAGGGAGAGATCAGGCAGGGGAGTGAGAGCGGCGCGCCTCGCTGCCAATGCGCGCGCCCACTCGGAAGGCCGCTCGCGGGTGCCCGACCCAGGGGCGACGTCTCGGACCACCCCGTAGCAGGCGAGGTTGCGACCGTCGCCCTCTCGAGGAAGTACCCCGCCGCCGCCACTTGCGCCGCCGAGAGGGAGCGCCGCCCGCAGCAGCGCCCTGGCGCGCCATCAACAGGCGGGTTCTCGACGAGCACGAAATAGCAACCAGAGCTGACCCCGTCGAATACGTCGCGCGGCACCGCGGGGGCGAACCAAGACACGGCGGAACCGCGTCGCTGAGGGCTGCGGGAAATGGCGTCGACGACCTCCTGCAGTGTCAGGCCCGCCACGCCCCCCACAGGGAGGCACGCCAGGTCAGAGCCAACGCCCGCCCAACAGGCCGCCGTCAAGAGGGGGCACCCCTTGTCGGGCACGGCGCTTCCGAGAACGACGACTTCGGACCCGCGGCCACGCGGGGGGCGGCGCCCGAGCAATCCGGCAAGGTGTTCGGCCAAGATTGGACGACGAATTCGAAGCAGGAGACGGCGCTCGCCCTCGCTAGCGCCTGACGTACCAGGGCCCGCCGCTGGAAACCCGCCACGAACACGATGGCTCCATCGGAGAGCAACGCCTCGCTGGCGGGAGCCCACAGTCAACCCGCGCAATAAGGACACACGATAAATATGCAAGAGCCTTTGAAGGCCATGCCGACACTTTGCGCGCGGGGCGCCGCCAGCGAAAGCGGCCACGAATGGGCCGAAGGGGAAGGATGCAAGGGCAAGTGTGGAAAAGATGTCATCCTTGTTGTGCGGGTTGACTGTTCCCGCGCCCAGCCTCGGCGGTGGTACGTTCCTCGGGCCGCTCTTTCCCCCGGACGCGCTTGAAGAGCGGCCCTGCGGCGCGAAAGCTCGAACACAGGAAGGAAGCGTTGATCCTCGCAACTCTCGGTGGTAATCGTTTCACCAACGATCGGAACGCCAATGGTGAATCGGCCATGGGCATCACCGCCGCGCTCAAGACAGAAAGCATCCTCCAGGGCCCTGAAGAAGGGAGTGGGGGGGAGAGCCCCTCCCCTTTCTTGCACTCTCCGCTTCACCATCGGCTTCAAATCTGGAGAGCGGGCACCTGTAAGGGACCACGCGTATACACACACACACACACACACACACACACACACACACACACACGCACATGTATACATGCGTATACCGCGTGTAAATATATATATATATATATATATATATGTATATAGAGAGAGATGAGTCTTGGCCAAGAAGATGGGGGGCCATAGACCCCCGCAACACAGAGTACCTTCCAAACCGTCTTGACGCGCGCAAAGTGCACCGAAGACCCACCGAGAAACAACTCTGCAACTCAGTAGGGGCACAGGCCACGACCCATACTATACACACAATTACATGTGTATTGTTTACATACATATGTATATATATATATATATATATATATATATATAGATCCGTAGGCATGTTTGGCCGAAGCTCCAAACATTGCCCCCGAGATTGGAGCTTGATACGCAGCCAAGGGGGCGGCTCAAGGCCCCCGTGCTTTCAGGCGATTCTTTATTTACTTCGCACCACGTCGCAGCCCGCCCAGGCTCGGGCGCCCCGCCCTTGCCCATGTCAGGACGCGATGATGGCGGTGCAAAGTGCCTCTCGTGTGGGGCAGCCAAAGGTAACAAGCCGTGGTACAAGGGGTGCGCGCAATGCTGGAGCTTGTTTGCCTCGCGCGGTTCATGCTCAGCCTCCTAGTCCTGGTGGTCAGTGGAGTCACGGCCCGCCACGTCCTCGGAGTCAAACCACCTGCATGGGCCCCAAGTCGTCTTCTGGTCAGCGTCAGCAACAGGCAGCTCACGGGCGCGGTGGTCGTCTCGGCGCGCCCAAAGATCTCGTGTCGCTTCTGGAGCAGATGCAGTTTCTCTGGGGACAGTTCAAAGAAGAACCCACACAGCGTGGCACTTTGGTCGAAGTGGTCGAGCAGTCGACATCGGAGATGCGCACCACGGCCAGCGAGTCTTGTCCCATTTTGCAGCAGCACTATGAAGTTCAGCAGGCCACCACCAAGAATGAGAAGCTCGCGGGTTCGTTGGACAGACAAATTTCGGAGATGGGGGAGCGGCTTGCGGGCGGAGGCCGTCACCATCCAGTCTCAGTTCAAGAAGCGTTTCGTCGAGTTGGCCGCCAAGGTTGCCAGCCTCCCCGCTCGTGTCGACGCGACAGCACTCGTCGCAGACGTGGACGCGTTCGACAAGCTACTTCAGGAAGTGGGCTTGTCTGCCATTCGTGAGAGCGGGTCCCAGTTCAAGCCCAAGTGCCAGTCTGCCAGCCAGCCTGGTGGACGCTCTGCCTCGGAGCCTCCTACTAGTGGCGGGGGTGGTGGCGTTGGGTCGGGTTCGGTACCAGCTGGCCAGGCCGACACTGACATGCCGCCAGCCTCCGGGGAGGATGAGGAGGCGCTGCGCAATTTCATGTCTGCCTGGTCCACAGCGCAGGGCCCCGATGCCTCTTCGGAGGCGCGCAAGCGTGTTGCAGACGTGCTGGCTGCCACGGCCAAGAAGCTTCGCCGCTCGCCTGACGCGCCCCCTTCTACCCCCACTGATGGCACCCCTGCTCCTGGAGCCGCTGCTTCTGCCATGGGTGGTGGGTAGCGGCCTCCGAGCTGGAGAGGCCCAGTGCACCTGGCCAAGTTCTGCCGGCGAACCCCCGCTCTTAAGCCATGAGGTTCTCTCATTTCCTCCTGGGCCTCCCCCCGCCAACGTGTCTCTGCGTGTCCAAACCTGTAATGCTGCAGGATGGGGAAAGCTGCGTGCAGGTGGTTTCCAGACGTTTCGGCGCACGCTCCACTGCTGCAGGGGCGCCATCTTGCCGACCATGATACGACTGCTCGTGCTCCCCAGCGGCTGTCCAGGCGCGGTTGGAAGTCGTGTTGTGCGCGGGCTGCAAAGGGTGTCGGATGTGGCAGTTCAGGTGGAGTGGCAGTATTGGCACGTTCTTTCTTAGGCATGCACGCTCTCTCGTCGGGCTTCGAGATCGTTCCCCATCGCGCGGGTGCCGCAGTCATCGTGGCCCCAAGCGGTCTTCATGTCATTGCGGGCTCTCTCTCTCTCTCTCTCTCTCTCTCTCTCTCTGTCTCTGTCTCTACTTGCACGATGTTCAGGGGCTTTCGGGGCGCAACGTCGAGCTCTCGCGCAGGTTGGAGCCATCGCGTCACAACATGCCGACAAACCTGGGCGGAGACTTCAACATGACTCCAGCTCAGTTGATGCAATGAAATTTCACTGCAGAGATGAAGGGCCAGCTGACCGCCCCCCCTCTCGAACAGCACACTCTTCGTAGCCAGGACGGTCGCAAAACATTTGATTGTGTCGTCGCCTCCTCGGACATAGAAATTTGTTGCTCGACAGCCCTGCGCGCCAAGTTCAGGATGGGGGGTCTGACGTCGTTGAATCGGTCGTTGGGGGGTCTGGCGATGGGGGAGGTACTCTGGAATGCCAGTGCGCGCGGCAGCGGCCGCCTCCCCCCTCGACGTTGAGTTCGAAGGTGAGGAGGTGGTTGCGTTCGCCCCTGTCTCTGATGACCCTTCGGGCCATCTCCCAGGCGCATCCTGTGCGCGTGTTGGCTTCTCCTCCCGTGAGGCGGGCTCTTTTGGGGCTGCTGCCGCAGCCCCCGGCGTGGCTGGTGCATCTTGTGCACTTCACAGCCCCTGGTCCCGCTGCCCCTTTTTCCTCCTCCGCCTTTGTGAACACGCCTGCGATTCAGGCGGTCTGGAACCGTCTCCTTGCGGAGGCTGTTTCTTTTGTTCAGGAGGAGATCGGATCCGACGGCTTTTCGTCGGGATCCGATTAGGTGGCAGTTATTATCATGGTGATGCCATATATATAGATATCGAACGCTGCGCGCTCGGCCTCTTCTGCAAAACTCCGCCGCCTTTCTGGGCATTCCGCCTGCCCCCCCCCCAAGAGTTTTCGACCCCTCCCCCTGACTGGTTCCGAGTAGATGGCCTGGCCATATTGTGTTTTAAAGGAGCGGGCGCAAGCGGGTCGAAGCCAGCGCAGGCGCCGGTCGGGCTACGGGCGGGACGCGCCAGGAACGAGTTGGGGCACAGGAAGGCAGGCAGTAAAACTCGAGGAAAGGGGAAAGAGTCATTCAGAACGTGTACAGATTCGCGGGCGTGCCAACGGTGTGCAAGACCGCGACAGCGCGGCTGCTTGACAAGCAGTGGGTGGAGCCCACGGAAAACAGGCCGCGGCAGGAAATTAGAATCACCGGGGTAGCCTCTGGGGGCGTCAGACTGGAGATCGTACAGGATTGACCGCTGCACGAGGTGCCAGAAGCTACGGCCCACGTCGTGAGGCAGAAATGTCCGCAGGGCGCCCTGACTTCGGATCCGCCGTACTTTGGCTGATGCTCCGATGTATTGCGACATGCACCCCCCGCACGGCTCGAAAAAGCGGAGCGGAAATTTCCGCCTCGGAAGAGTGGGGCGGGCATTTCCACAAAAGCACGGCGGAAACAGCGACGGCAAAGCAGGGTGGAAATCGGCATCAAAGGACCCTGAAAATCAGGGCGGGCAATTGCGCTTTGACATCGCCCAAAATACGGCGGCTCCGAAGTCAGAGTGTCCCCGAGGGCGCCTCCCCCTCGAGGGCATCGACAGGGGCTCACCTCTTTCGCTAGGGGCGGACGGCCCGCGAGAGCCTTGAATCGAGGCCGGCTCTGCTGGCGGAGACCCGTCATAAGGTCGGTTCGGTCTGTGGCCGTTCAAGCGCATCGAATAACGAAAAACCGCACGAATAAACATTTAGAATAAGTCAATGTATAGAAAAATGGCAGACAGAAGTTCAGTTCATGAAGGAACATAGCCCTTCACGGAGGTCCGCGCGGATTTCTTGAATCGGCGCTCGGCCACTCTGGAAGCGCCTCCGGCGCCGTTCCTGGCGCGTTCCGCACGCCAGGGAGAGGGGGGTCCAGCGCCGACTCAAGAAGTCCGTACGGGCCTCCGAAAGTCTATGTCCATGCCGTTTGCTCTCCCTCTGAGTGATGCACGGGCCGCCCCGTTCCGAGCTGGGCCTCGGGAGAGGATAAGATACCAATACCGATACCACTACCCTTCCCTCGTCGCCACGGCTGGATTCACCTCGACAGGCTGGTCAGATCGCACCCCTGGAGTCCAGGGATCACCCTGGATGGGATATTTATCAGGGGGGGAGGAGATCAATCTTTCCGACGGAGCTTGCCCATTCCCCCCCCCCTTTCCTCCTCCTCCTCCTCCTCCTCCTCCTCCTCCTCCTCCTCCTCCTCCTCCTCCTCCTCCTCCTCCTCCTCCTCCTCCTCCTCCTCCTATTCCTTCCCCTCTTTCTCGAACCCCCACTCCGCCCGTTCTGACAGCAGCGCCCACCCCCATCCCCCGAATCCAAGGGGGAGGGGGCGATGCTTGCCCTATCCAGAGCAGCGGTATCGGTACCTTCTTGCCTCCCGAGGATCGCGATTCCATTCCCAGCCCTCCGCAGCTTCGCGTCGGCGAGATGGGCTCTCGCGGGCCGCTGGGCCCGTGTGAGTTGCGCCGCGCAACCTGATGTGTGCCTCTTGTGGGCGGAGGCCGGGCGATCGGGAGACCGTAGGCCGGAGGGGGGCAGCGTGCCAGCGCGAAGGTGGCCACAGGTTTCCGTGCTGTTTCCGTGCTGTTGGCGACGGCTTCGGTGTGGATTCGACGCGGAAACGACGAGTCCGACACGGATTCACACGGATTCGACGCGGACAGGGGCGGCGACGAGACGGGCAAAGCCCCTCGAAGATGCAACATTGGCCAGATCTGCCGCAGCTCTTTTGCACACCACGCACACACTCTTCTTGCGCCACGCGCCTGCACCTGCTGGTCACAGACGGCCTGAGGAGGCGTAGCATTCGACGCGCACGCACGTGTGTTCAGCGTGCCGCCGTCGGCTTTGCATCACTTGCGACGGTTGCGCCGTGCGGCCGGAAGGCAAAGAGTGCCCGCTGTTCCTCGCGATATGCGGCAAGTACGCCAAAAACAAGGACGGCGAGGGCAACGCAGCGCCATAATAGATATGATACGTGTATGTTCCCTTCCTGGTCCTCCTGTTACCCATCCTGCTCGCATCCTTCTCGGCGACTGTTTTCGCAGCCTCTCCCATCACTGAGCCACCTCGGCCGTCGATGCGCCCTATTCCCCTGACCACTCCCCCTCCTCCCTCTCTCCTTATCACTCTCTCTGTCTCTCTTTTGCTCTTTCTCTCTCTGTCCCTGTCTCTCTCTCTCTCTCTCTTTCTCTCTCTCTCTCTCTCTCTCTCGCTCTCTCTCTCTTTCTCTCTCTCTCTCTCTCTCTCTCTCTCTCTCTCTCTCTCTCTGTCTCTCTCTCATATTTCTCTCTCTCTCTCTTTCTCCCTCGTTTTTTTGTCTCTCTCTCTCTCTCTCTCTCTCTTTGTCTCGCTCTCTCTATTTCTCTCTGCTTATATGTATAGCTCTCTCTCTCTCTCTCTCGCTCTCTCTGCGTCACTCTATTTATCTCTCTCTCTCTCTCTCTCTCTCTCTCTCTCTTCGTTTTATGTGTATATATACATATACATATATATATACATGTGTCTCTCTTTCTCTCTCTCTATTTTTCTTGTCAATATAGCTTAATTCATCGCTCGATGTATCGCTATATCTGTCTGCATCTAGTTTGTGTTAGCATTCTCTCTGTCTCTATGCACATATATAGGTATATATTTATATGTATATATATGTGTGAGTGTGTACAAATTTATGTGTATGCACATATATATATATATATATATATATATATATATGTATCGATCCCTGTCTCTTTCTGTATAAATTTGTATACATATATGTATACATTAAAGATATGTATATATTTGTATGTATGTATGTATACATTTCCCTGTCTCTGTCCCATTATATGTATGTAAATGTTTGCATGTATCACGACGCAGCCTTTTTTTTTATCTAAATGTACACATGCATACCTACATATAGACAGAAACGCATAATTACACATCTACAGGCTTAACGACATAACCAACTATATATATATGTATATATATATACACACATACATACATACATACACACACAACAATAGTTATATCGTTATATACATAAAAAAAAATCCCCCCCCCCGCTGTCCAACAGGTCGACGAGGGCCCGACCGTAAGCGGCCGCCGGTTACCTGACGAGGCGGCGATCACGCGAACGCTCACCCGCGCCGCTCTGTGGACTCGCGCCAGCAATGCCCCGAGCGCAGAATACCTCCGACTCGTGGCGCGGCTGCGGCTCGAGGGCGTGGCAGCGGGTGACAAGTACCACGCGTACCAGCACGTGGAAGACGTCACTTTCCTGGCGGCGCGCTGCGCGCGGCATTTCGATGCGCTGGACTTTGGGGCGCCTCTGGGCGGCTTGGGGATGCCCAGCTCCTGCGCGCTCCTCGTCGACGGCGCGCCTGTCGGGGGGGGGGGGCGCGCGCGGGCGGCACGGCAACGTCGAGGTGATATGCCTGAGCTCCGTGAGCCCGCGCACGCACCGCTTGCATTCTTAGCTCGCCGGCTGGTGGCCCCCCTCCGCGGGCCACGGAGGCGACGCCCCAGCGGTCGGAGCCCTGCAGGCTTTGGAGCACTCGCCTTTGGCACTGAAGCTACCCGAGTTGCGAGCGCGGCTGACGCTCGCGGCGGGCGACGGGGCCGCGGTCCGCGGGTGGCCCGACCGGGCGAACCCGGCACAGGCGCCGCAGACATTAGATGGGGCATTGCCCATCCCCGGGCCGGCGGGCCCCGAGTCAGCGCTGCGGCCGCGCCCGGGCCGCCCGAGTCCGCGCTGCCCCGCGCGACTACCGTCGCCATCTGCACAGAGTCGGACAAGATGCATCGAGAAGATATCGCCATGGCGCGCGCGATTAAAGGGACACCCATGGCAGAAGAACTTTTCTTGCTCGCCAGCATGATGGACAAAATGTTCCACCTGGGCGATGGAAACGCGCTTCTGCGGACAGCAGCGCAGGAGGCTGGCGCGGTGACCCTTCGGAGTGCGCGAATGCCGGGCGGCGCGCGCAAGGCAGTGGCCTTGACCCGAGAGCCTGGCCACCTCCTCGACAATTTCCAGGCATGCGCCAACGGCTTGCGCTCGAGGGACAAGTGGCGCCGTCGCAACAAGACCGCAACGCACAGCGCCAATGCCTCGGTGGACGCAGGTCGGCGACTTACGGCAGTGGAGTTCGCGGCGTTTGCCCTTCTGTTCCACGACTGCACGCGCCGGGCGGCGGCGCCGTGGACTGCGGTCGCGCAGAGCGAGGCTTCGAGCCATGGGTCCTGGAGGCGCACAAACGCAGACGCGAGATATGTCTGCGCGCAGCCCTTTCCGCAGCGCGGCGGCTTCGAGAGTTCGCCCGCGTCGCGGTGCCACTCTGCCAGCGCGCAACGCCGGGCGAGCGGCGGCGCCTCATGGAAGCCGCCTTCCACGCCAAGCCGGGCGATTTCTTCCAGGTCGACGGCTGCGACGACAGCGCTCAGCACCAGTGGGGGGGATTGTTCCTTACGTTTCTGTCGGCGCTGCCCGCGCTTCTGCGCGGGGGGCGCCCCCACTTTCCAGAACTTGGAGTTGGCGCGTGCCCCTGCGCCACCCGGGCAGGAGCACCTGCAACGTCTCGGGCCCCATTGCCAACGCAGCTTCGTGGCGAGAAACACGCACGGGCGGCTACTCTGGAAAGGGAGGCCGCGCCAGGTGCAGATGCCTTGCTGGGTGGCCACTGCGCAGGCAGGCGGGGCCAAGCCGCTCCCCGATTCCAGGCCCGACGGCGAGCGAAGGGGCGCAAGCCGGGGGGGGGGGGCAGCGTCGCCGTTTTTGGAGGCTCGCGCCCGTCCGCTTCCACTACCGGGACCCCGCGAGCCGGCCGCCCCCGGGCGTGGACATGGCCGGCAAGTTTCGCAATCGCTTTCACCAAGTGCAGGTGCCAGGAGGTGGGTTGGGTCGGGTGGGTCGCTGCCAAGCGCCGCGCGGGCTGCCGCTCGTCCTCGGCGACGCGGACGCCGGGCTTGCGGCCATCGAGGGCTACCTGGGGAATCCAATTCTCCGGCGCGTCATCAAAATTTTGACACGTGCACCCAATTTTTCGACACGGTGCTCAATTATATGACACGTCTGTTTTATGACACATCCTGGTGTGGTGGTTTTGTTCGCCGGGTGGATTTATGAACCGGGCATCGCTGTGATGTTTGCCGGGCACGATTTACGCTACATCGCCGGCCCGTGTATCATAAAACCAAAGGTGTGGGTCTCCTCGGTGGCGCGTAGCTTGCTTTTGTCGTCCCGTGTTGCTCGGCTTGCGGATTTTGTGCTGTCGGTTCTTTCGGTTGCGCTCTCCCTTGCGCTACGTGTTGTTGTTTTTTCAAGGCCCTGTGCCTCAGTTTGCCGCCCGATGTGTGCAGAAAAAATCTTCCTCTTGTCCTCCTTCGCCTCGCCCCCCCCCCTCACCTCCTCGCGTCGTTCTCGTCGTCGAAGGATTTCCAGGGTAATCCAAGGGCTTCCAGGCGCCCAAGGATCCGAGCGTTTTCATTGAAAGATTTCCAGGGACTCCAGGGAGGACTCAAGGAAGTCCAGGGATTCCAGGGATTCCAGGAGGACGGGGACAGAAGAGGGAGGAGAAAGGAGGAGGAGGAGGAGGAGGACGAGGAGGAGGAGGGAGGAAAGGAGAAGAAGGTGAAAAGAAAAAGAGAGGAGGAAGACGACGACGATTCCGTCGCCCGTCGCATCGAGCTCCCCGCCCCGCCCCGTGGGCCCCGGGCCGCGCGCGGCACCGCCACGCCGGCGCAAATGAAGCTTGGATGGCTGGTGCGCCCCCCTCCCTCGCGCGCGCCCGCGCGCTTGCAATTGCGATCGAGGGGAGGAGAAGGAGCAACAGCAGGAGAGAGGATGAAGGAGGAGGAAGAGGAGGAGGAGGAGGAGGAGGAGGAGGAGGAAGATAAGGAGGAGAAAGAGGAGGAGAAAGAGGAGGAGAAGGAGGACGAGGGGAAGGAGGGAGGAGGGACGACTTGAAGGCAGAGGTTTCAGAAACGCCCAGAAATAATATGCGGGGGGGGCCCAGGATCCCATGAAAAGAACGGCGTTAGCTTCAAGACGCGCCCCGAAAGTATCAAAAGAAGCTCGCCCCCCGCCCACCCACCCGCCCCGCTCCCAACACCGCGCCGAACTTTTGGTCCCTCACCCACTCCCTTCATAACTGCCTCTCTCTCTCTCTCTCTCTCTCTCTCTCTCTCTCTCTCTCTCTCTCTCTCTCTCTCTCGGCTCTCTCGCTCCAATTGTATTCTCGCTATCCCTTCATCTCTGCCCGCCCCATCCCACTCTGCCCCTACTCACTCCTTCCCTCCCTCCCACCCCTCCCACCGTTTTCATTGCCATGGCCATTTTTTGTTCAGGGCCATCGTGCTAGATATGATGATGCCAATCATCGCGTTTGTATTGTCCGTGCTTCTCATTCCATATTATCTCATCGCCCCGATGGGGCGCGTTAAGTGCAGCGATGTGAGTTGCGATGACATGAAAACTGTTATCAAAAGTGTTTGGACGTCTATGGACCACGATCGGTGCCGCAAGACTCATCGATTCTTGAACTACGAGAAGCCATCCAAAAAGAGCGGATACTCGTGCCAGGATGCTGCCAAAAATGATGCGATCGTGATGACTGCTCTGATTAAGCTCAGCCCGTCCGCCCCGCCATACAAGCCCGAGGTTATGAAGTGTCTCAAGGTTCTGAACGATGACCTCGGAAAAACGTTTAGGGATCCAGACACGGGCCTGAACAACTGGGCTGATGGTCAGGCCGAGGACCCGCGGGCGGAGACGAAGAGGAGGAAGAGGAGGAGGAAGAGGAGGAGGAAAAGAAGGGGGAAGAGGAGGAGGGAGAGGAGGAGGAAAGAAGGAGGAGGAAAAGGAGAGAGGAGGAGGAGGAGGAGCAGGAGGAGGAGGAGGAGGAGGCGGAGGAGGACGTTGAGGATGAGGAGGGCGAGAAGGAGGAGGAGGTT